GATCATACTAAATTCTAGAGGCAGATCTTTTCTTTTCTTTCTTTCTTTTTTTAAATATTTTTTAGTTGTCAATGGACCTTTATTTTCTTTATTTATATGTGGTGCTGAAAATCAAATCCAGTGCCTCACACATGCAAGGCAAGCTCTCTACCACTGAGCCATAACCCCAAACCCAGATCTTTTCTTACTTAAAAACCAGTCTCAGGAATGTAGCTCAATGGTAGAACCCTTACCTAGCATGTGCAAGGCCCTGGATTCAGTCCCCAGTACTATAAAAACAAACAAACCAACAAAATTCTCAGAAAGCACATCTCCCCTTAGAAGAACGCATATTATGTGCATTGGTTTAAAGTGTAGATCTAAATGTTTTTAATATTAAAAAAAAGACTTCAGCCTTTATTCTAAAGTTTGGTCTAATATAAGTTAGAACTTTGTAAAAGCAGATAAAATCATAATAAGGAAGTTGTTGTAACTGCCACACTGATCAACAAGTAAAAAACAATAGTGAATTAAAATTTTCAAATAGCTGTTCTGTACAGATACAAGTCCAGTGGAGTCTACAGCATAGATTAAATTACAGTCTTCTTGTTCTCTCCCCTCAGTGGTTGGCTGGTACATATTTAAAGGTTGCTTTGAAGAGCTGGTAGACAGTGAAGCAGAGAGCACTGATCACCATTGCAGTAGGTGCCTTTCAATTAAGATTTTGGCTTTACAAGCAGACTCAAAAAAGGCTTGGTAATGAATCCCTCTGAATAGCTTAGGGTCAAGTTTTAAATTCCAGAGCCAACCCCAATAACTTCTTTATGCCTTTGGATTTGTGAGGTTGACAAATTTTAAACTTTGTAATAATAGCCTACACTTATGAATACATGTCTTGGTAATTAGAGTGAGTTTTTGAGAAGCAGCATAGTCCAATAGAAACTATAGCTAGACTGCTCAAGTTAAAATCAAATCTTACCATTTATTAACTGTGTAACCTTGTGTAAGCTATTTAACCAGGATCCTTATCTGTAACATGGTGATGATAATGAGAATTAAGCAAGTTAATAGGTGAAAAAATGTTTAAAAAACCACCATGTACATAGTAAGCATTGTAGTAGGTGTTTGAACTTAAAGGTGCAGGCAAAAATGCCAACGAAAGAAGCAGCATGAAAAACTTCCTTGTATTTTTCTTGAGCCTGAGACTTTAAAAAGTATAGGTCAATTAAAATAGAGATGGGTTGGCAAAAATTAATAAATAGAAAGATCCAACTTGTACTCTGAACAAAGCCAGAGTTTTTCATCAAGTAGAACTGAGGGCTATTTTTCAAAAATTTTATACATTAACTTTAGTAGAAATAAATCTGATCATTTGCTAATGTTTTAAATGCTTATGGTTTATCTTCAGTTATTTTTTGTATGGGAAATGGGGTATTGATCCCCCCGGGTTATTTAACCACTAAGCTACATCCCCTGATAGAGATAGATAGATAGATAGATAATATACATGTCTTTTTTTTTTTTTTTTTACAGAGTCTTACTAAGTTACTTAAGGTCTGCCTTGCTAAATTGCTGAGGCTGGCTTTGAATTTGCTATCCTCTTGCCTCAGCCTCCTCAGTTGCTGGGATTACAGGCATGTGCTACTATGCATATTAAGCAAAAATACTACCACTGGGCTTAACTTCAGTTCTTAAAGTTACTTATCTTTATAATCAGGAATGCTTAAAGGGTTTTGGGGTGCAATTAGTAATAGTAGTATAAATAGATGACTTAATGCCTGCAGTTATTTTTTGCAGTAATCTCAAGTAATAGGCATTCTTTTTAAAACAATTGTTTATTCACAAACTTTACATACAAGCTTAATAAAATGGACTTAAAATGATTTTTCTAAATATATTTTCTATACAAAATTTCAAGGCATAATTATTGATATGTACAATACTTTTTAACTTTTATTTTTTGTGGTACTAGGGATTGAATCCAGGGACTTATGCATACTAAGCAAGAATACTACCACTGGGCTACATCCCCACCCCTTGACCATACTCTTAACAGACAAATCAGTAATGGACCTTGATCTGTACTTCAAAACAACATAGATGTAATTGATAATTCATTTGCATGCTGAAAATATGCTTAGTTCCTTCTAGTCTACACATCTTTTATTGTGTGATCTAAAGAATCGTCTTTGTGGGACCCAGATCCCTGACAAATAATTCTTGATCAGTGCTGTAATTCTGTGGTATATGACTGATAAAGTGGGCCTTCCTGTGAGTAGACAAGAAATTGGGCAGTTCAGATGCTGAAACTCCTAAGAACTTTGAAAGCTTTAGCTTAAAAAATAGAGAATTTTTTTTTTAAGAGCTCCCACTCACATGGGAAGAACATCATACACATTTCTCCTTTAAACCTTTTACTATAGGGCTGGAGGTGTAGCTTAGTGGTAGAGGGCCGGCATGCTTAGCAAGTGTTTGAGACCTTGGCTGGGTTCAATCCCGAGCACCTGGTTGGAGGTAGGGCTGTGGGGGGTGTCATTTATTAGGTCCCCTGGTTTCGATTGGTGCCTTGTAGAGTTTTTCAGCTCATATCATATTACTTGTTTTCTTGAAACTATTTTCTTCCAAAATTCAGGCTCATGCGCAAAAATTTTTTTTCTTACAGTCTACATGTACTAGCTTAAATGTTTTAACCAACAGTATTGTCCTTTAAATGTTTTAACTAACCTCACATTTCTAATGGATTTGCCTTGAAGATTATTGCCATGCTTTATACAAGTATTTCAAAAGGTATGGAGACATATATCACCATTGTTGATACTTTTAAATGCATGTAACATTTATTATAAGGATTTCAATTTTTTACCATGTCTTTCATTTGGGTAGTTATTTGTTAGTGGCTTAGATTAGTTGAGTACTTCAGAAAAAGGAAGCCAGTGAGTTTGATTCAAGTTGTTTGTAAGATTCTGAAACCTGAATCAATTATTGCATTTAATATTCAGTTTTATCCTAAAGTTGATCGATACTCTTTTTGATGATTTTACTTAAACTGATAGTAATGCTTCCCATAGCTATCACTTTCTCTCACCTACCAATTGAAGAGGGGGAAAATTGTGAAGGAAAAACATTTGTTTAGTTGGTATGGATCTGACCAAAGAGTTTAGGGGGGAAAAGAAAAAAAAAAAAAAACTATTGTACAATTTATTTTAAAATTTATTTGAAAACATTTAGTCAGTGAGAACAATGAAGCAGTTCTAATGCACCTAGAAAATAACGGTAGCAGGCTGTTGACATTGTTGCATTTTCATGGAGTCTCAGGGTCTAATTTTTATTGTAGAGAACTGAGAAAACCATGCTTCATAAAGATAAGTAGTTACAAATGATAGCTTGAACTGAAAATTTTTATCAGTTACTATAATCAATGTTTACATTTTTATTAAATCATAATAGTCACATAAACACAAACTTAAAAACGATAGTATCTCTATTGTCAAAATAAAACTGTTAGGTATTTTCATGTTGTACAACATAACTGAGAAAACTGCTTGTTACTTGAGAAGTTGTTTTTATGATTGTACCTTTTAGCTTTGAAGATCTTTTAAAGGGAGAGAGACTTGAGGTAGAGACAATTATGTACTTCATTCATAGGTTATGAGGAGGATTAAGTGAAATAAGCCTCTGTTACACTGCTGAATGCTCAGTAAATTTCAGGGGCTGTTTTCAACATTTAGTAAATAATTGACTAACAGGATTGAGTTGAAGGGCAAAGAAGATCAGCTGAGTATTTAAAACAGGCAGCAGGCAGCATTTTATATTAAGAGAAAATTGTGGAAGAACAGATTTGCTTTTAAAATACCTGCTTTTAAATTATTTGCTACAGAATTGCTGATTTTAACCTGCAGAATCTGTTTCCTCATTTGTAAAATACGGATACTATTTAATCTATTAGGCACCTATTACAGGGCAGTGTTTTGTACATAATAGGCTTTAATAACAATAGCCATTAAAGAAGCTGCCAAGAAAAGAACCAGATTTAGACTTAACTTCAACTCCATCAATAAGATGGAGCTTAGTAGTTAAGCAAAGGAAGTCAATTTGTGTGGTCTGACTTTTGAAAATCTGGCTGAATTTATTCTTGGAAGAAATCCCTAAAGATTTATCATTATATTAACACCTTTATTATCTTCACCAACCTGTCCCTTTAAATTTTGGTATTGTGCCACATCTTTATTTCCTCCATCCTCCTGCATTTTTTTGTTTTATTGATTTTATTTTTTTAAATACACGACAGCAGAATGCATTACAATTCTTATTACACATATAGAATACAATTTTTCATATCTTTGTGTATGGAGTATGTTCACACCAAATCATGCTTTTATACATGTACTTTGTTTTTCTGCATTTATTTTGTACCCATTACTCCAGTAATAGATAAAAGGCTGCTAAGGAAGTAGGCAACCTGAAAAAAGTAGCTTATTATAGCTTAATATGAATTTCTATAGCTTACTGTTGGTGTTCCTCATTTGGTAGGTAGAGTAGAAGAGTAGAACAATATTGGGGTCAAAAGAAAGTTACATTAAAAATCGGTGTATCTACTTAACAACTATCTACTTAACAACTCCTGTTCTCAAGTTCTTATGTACAACTTTAGGTTGGTTTCTTTTTGTTTAGACTACATATGAAAGACTATTAAGTACACACTTAGATATGTAGGTCTCTTGAAGTTTTTAGCTAAAATAAAAACGTCTCCAATTTGACATGCTAAAGAAGAAACACCTGCTTTGGCAAAGTTTAAACCTTAATCTTGGTCTTGTGAGAGTTCCTTATGTTTGCAGTGATCCAAAATTGTAGAGTCATTTTGTATAAGAATGCATTAATCTACTAGACAAATCTCTTACGATTTAATTACATGGCATCTTCTAATCCTGTGGTAAGAAAAATGTAAAATTAATTTTATTCAAGCTAAGGCATATTAGCTTATATACATTTTTTGTCTCTTTTTTGTTGTTTTTGTTGTTAAGTAGGATAAGTTCTGAACGTCGAAAAGAAAAGTCTAGAGATGCAGCCAGATCTCGACGAAGCAAAGAGTCTGAAGTTTTTTATGAACTTGCTCATCAGTTGCCACTTCCCCATAACGTGAGCTCACATCTTGATAAGGCTTCTGTTATGAGGCTTACCATCAGTTATTTGCGTGTGAGGAAACTTCTGGATGCTGGTGAGTTGCTTTAAAAAGGATATATAACAGGCCTGGAAATTAGAAATTAGAAGTAATTAGAAATTATTATTAGCAGGTGGTCACTGATGATTTTCTTTTATGCCCATGGATATAAAATTTATATTTACTTCTGCCTCCCTTTTCTTGTTTACCTACCTTCTAAAATATGGTCTTTCTTTTTGTTTTTTGGTTTGGCTGTATTACTTCAAATAATTATGAAAAGCAGTTTGCAAAATCTTAGTCCTCTCAGCCTTTATTGTTCTGTATTAAAATGAAAGCAATGGGGAAAAATTTAAATATACAGAAAAAGCAGATACTGTAGATTTTTTTAATGTATTGTTTTATTTCTAGATGGACACAATAACTTCATTCCATTTATTTATGTGGTGCTGAAAATCGAACCCAGTGCCTCACGTGTGCTAAGCAAGTGCTCCACCACTGAGCCCCAGTCCCAGCCTAGATACTGTAGATATTAAGAAAAGTATCTGGGAGAAAACTTTATAATAACATCTAAACATTACATCATTTAAGTCATAACTTTTTAAATTATTTTCCTCCTCTTCACACCTTTTCAGGTGACCTGGATATTGAAGATGAAATGAAGGCACAGATGAACTGCTTTTATTTGAAAGCCCTGGATGGCTTTGTTATGGTGCTCACAGATGATGGCGACATGATTTACATTTCTGATAACGTGAACAAATACATGGGATTAACTCAGGTAAATTGTCCACATATTAAAAGCCCTTTGGATGTTTTTATGATTTTATGATGTAGATCTAATTTTTAAAAATATGTTTACAGTTTGAACTAACTGGACACAGTGTGTTTGATTTTACTCATCCGTGTGACCATGAGGAAATGAGAGAAATGCTTACACACAGAAATGGTAAGAAAAGTCTATTGTTTGATTTAATGTGACAAGAGGTTTTACTTAATCAGATATGTTACTAATTTTTAAATGTTGTTATTGTACTCATCTAAGGCAAAAATGTTCTTTCACATTTAGTAAAATGCTAACACTGTTCTTTGTTAAAACTGTTCTACTTTTTTTAGGAATTTCATAGAAATACTTTTTTTTGTTGGGTGGGGGTACTGGTGATTGAACTCAGGAGCACTTGACCACTGACTCATATCCCCAACCCTATTTTGTATATTATTTAGAGACAGGATCTCACTGAGTTGCTTAGTACCTCTCTTTTGCTGAGGGTTCCTTTGAACTTGGGATCCTACTGCCTCAGCTTCCGGAGCTGCTGGGATCACATGTGTGCCACAGCACCTGACTACAATTTTTTTAAAACTGACCTAACTTCCTAAATAATTATACAGACACATACACATGAATAGTAAAATGTATAAATTAAAATGAAGACCAAGAAAGTTATAAATTAAAATAAAACAAAACATTATGGCAATAAGAATTGAAAATGACAGATAACAGGATTTTACAGTTATTAAAGCTAAGGTGCCAGTTTAGATCCAGGTTTTTTTGAGACCCAAGAAGAAAAAAGGATAAAGTTGACTTAGAGTTTTAAGAGCACAATAACTACTTTGATTTCTCAGGATTTTTAAAAATAATTTGAAGTTACAAATTACAAATTTTTGTAATCATGAATGCTCACACATTAAAAAAGACATAAAACTTTAACTCTTGTGATTTGTTAACAATAACAAAATATTCCAAGATTTTTGAAAAGTACCTTTTGAATTACAAAAATTTAATAATTAAAGTTTTTTTCACATTTGTGCCTTCCTCAGCCAAGTGTACTCATTTAATCAATTCTACTTTTCATGACTGAAAGTTACCACAATGAAAATTTATTATACTTTGCTGCCCTCTGATTTAAATAAGTTTCTCCGCTTCTGTTTTAAACAACTTCCAAGTTTGTAGTACTTTCTTGAATAATATTTAAGGTTTCCTTTTTCATCCCATTTATTATAATAATGGCTAACCTCTATTGAGAGAATACTCTGTGGACACTTCAGTGACCAAGACACTGTCATCTTCATTTTATAGCTTGAAGTTCTTTGTTCCTCATAACCCTGTGAAGTTACTGTTGGTTTCCATTTTACCAAGGAAATTGGGGGTACCTAGTTACTGGGTAACTTGTCCAGTATTACTTGGTTAGCAAATTGCAGAGCTTGGGTTGAACTCTGGGAGACTGCTTCAGTCCATGCTTGTTAGCACTTATGAGCTTTTTTAGTATTCTTGAATTCTAACTACAATCTTCTTTTTTTTTTTTTCATCATTTATAGGTGCCCTGTTTTGCTTTTTAATTTCATTTTATGTTTTTACTATGAAAATGGGAAACAAATGCACAATTTTTAGGTTTCTGTGTAAAGAACAAGTGAACTTAGAATTCTGTGTAAAAAATAAGTAAATATGCTCTAAGCAAGGTCCTAAATGGGTTTTCAATGAGTTAAATAGTTTTTAGGCTTGAGGTTTATATTGACTGCTTGGGGCTTCCTGCCACTAGACCATAAATGGATACTAGGCAGTCTTGTTTTGATTTAGCAATCATGTTAATGTGTTGTTTGACATCAGATTAGTCACTTAAATGTGTTTTGCATCAAATGTACTTTTTTCAGGCACACAAATTTTTTTCAAATCAATCCTAATGTGTTAATAAACAATGCAGATTTTCACTTATTTGAGTGCTCTTGCAAAGCATTATATTTTAATGATAATAAGAGCCTGTAGTGTGTTTACACAAATAGTCCGATTATTCGTTGAATTCTAAAAAACTTTTAGAATTCATAAAATAAAAAATATGACTTCATTTTTAGAGAGCTGAAAATATAGTTCTTCTTTTTTTGTGGAGGGGTTGGTAACCAGGGATTCAACTCAGGGGTACTCAACCACTGAGCCACATCCTCAGCCCTAGTTTGTATGTTTATCTAGAGACAGAGTCTCACTGAATTGCTTAAGAGTCTAGCATTTCTAGCAAAGCATACCTAAATTTAAACTTACTCTTTTGTTTCTTTTCCAATTGACAATGTTCTTCAATATACTAACCTTAAAATTTCTAGATATTTTTTTTAAAAATTATCTCATCAGTGTTTACAGATTGTACTTCTTCATTTGCCTTTTGCCAACCTTCTTTTTAGTCCTACTACTGCTACTGGCTGAATCCCTCAATACTATCACTCTATCAAATTATATATTTAAGTTGAACTCCTCATTTGGGTATCAGAGTCCCTCCATAGTAATAACCCTAACCTTTCCTTCTAATTTTGTCTGACTACTCTTCTACATGTACCTTATCCTACAGACACACTGTACAGTGTACTATTTCCTGAACATGTGCTATTTTTCCTTTCTGTGCTTTTCATTCTCCTCCTTCTTCTGTAATACCCTTTTAGCCCATCTCTACTTACTGAAGTTCTAATGTCTCTTTTTCTGAGAAAGCCTTCTTGGTTCTCCCTGATGAGAATTTACTTCTGATCTGTTTCTCTTAAAAGCATTCTTAAAAAGTCTTGAGTACTAATTCTGTATTGTATTGTTGTTGACCTTACAAGAGCGACTGCATGCTTAACTTCTTCAGGAAAAGGAATGTGTCTGATTATTCATCTTTATATCACCTGCAACACATAGTTCAAGTTCTGAATAATGAGTATTTTTGTATTTGTTTTGAACCAGACTGACCAATGAATGAATATAAGAAATCAAAATATTATTTGCTTAATCACCTGAGTGTAATCTCATTATTTAGTTATGATGTTTGGAACGGGAGTAAATAGACTTGAATTTATTTATTTCTGTAATCCCACCCCACCCCCACCCACCAGTGCTGGGTATAGAACCCAGAGCCTCAGACATAGTAGGCAAGCCTCTACCTCTTAGCTATATTTCAAACCCCTATTTCTGTAACCTAGTTATTCAATCTGGGTTTTTTCCCCAAAGTAACACAGTAGAAATAATTTCTTGCCTGCTTTCCAGGATAATTTAAGAAAAAAAATATATGTAAAAATGCTTTTTTGCCATTAAAAAACTTGTTGTTTTAAAAGTTCTATAAATACATTGTTACTTATTGAGCATTTGGTTATATGAAGAGTTTGCTGAGGTTCTTTTTTTGAGCATACTTAGCACTGATAGCATATATGTTGATAGGGCAAACTTATACCATTTTCCTGTTTCCTTGTAATTTGACCAAATTTACTGGCTTGAATGATCACCTATTATACCAATATGCCGTCCTCCTGCCAAGTGAGGGAACCACTTAAGTATTATAAATACTAGTACTGAGCGGAGCCTGTCAGTTCTCTTGTATATGTTAGAGTGGGTAAGGCTATGAATATGTTCATGCTGAGACTCACTTTTATTGTAACAAATTCATATGTTTAGTTATGTTTTAAAACTTTATTTCATGTTTTCATTAGGCCCTGTGAAAAAGGGTAAAGAACAAAACACACAACGAAGCTTTTTTCTCAGAATGAAGTGTACCCTGACTAGTCGGGGAAGAACTATGAACATAAAGTCTGCAACATGGAAGGTAAATCATTTTTCTTGACTTACGACCGATTATGTGCTTGATTTATAAATAAATTCATACATCTAGACATTGCTAGAATTAAAACAGCTTCACAATTGTGAGGGAAAATTTATAGTTATTCCTTGGATTTACCATTTGCATTTTCAAATGATGAGTGTATAATTCTCAAAAATCTAAAACAATGTAATTTTACAACTTGAGGCACAGACTAAATTATGTGTTTTAAGATTTGTGTACCAAGCTAACTGGATCAGTTGGCTTAGTAAACAGTCAGTGTTAGAATCCTGATAGAGTTTAATTTTCTACTCATTGTATCGCTTCTTTGCTCAGTGTTGAAACACAGTCATCGAGGCAGAAGCAGCCAGCAACCACAATAATCAGATTAAATGAAGAAACAAACACCAGGCTTATACAGGGTATTACTATCATTATTATTAATGTAAGAGTAATGTAGGGTACTTAGGAAATATGTCATGGGGAACATGCTTTATTAATTTTCAAAAAAATACATTTAATCCACTAATGACAGTAAATTTAATTAAAGCTTATTTACCTGTCAGACTCAGCTATTTATCTCTGTGTTTTTATTCTCTCTAGCATTACAACTTAGAAAAAAAAAATGTTCCATTTTTCTTCTTCCTACCCAGGTACTTCACTGTACAGGCCATATTCACGTATATGATACCAACAGTAACCAATCTCAGTGTGGATACAAGAAACCACCAATGACATGCCTGGTATTGATTTGTGAACCCATTCCTCATCCATCAAATATTGAAATTCCTTTAGACAGCAAGACTTTTCTCAGTCGACACAGTCTGGATATGAAATTTTCTTATTGTGATGAAAGGTAAATTAGACATAAAATATTACTTGAAATTTTTAACTTGTCTAAGGTTTTTTAAATATTCACTGAAGACTCAATGGCATATTATGTGTTTTCAGTAAGATTAATGGAATGATATATCCTGGAACCTACTATGTACACGTTACCAGGTGCTATTCAAAAATTATTTGATGATGTCGTTTTCTTTAAGGACTCTTATTATTTAAACAGAGAAAATAAATGTCAAAGTAGCATGTTTTAAGGAAGATAACTTGTGGTTATAGACTAGATAGCAAAAGTTTTTTGGTCGGCCTCATCTTACATCTTTTTCAAGAACCATCAATCCTGCTTGTGCTTTCTATCCCCATTTCCCAAATTTATTTCTGTAACTACTTCTTTGTAATTGCCAACTTGATATTTCTGTCTGGCTAGCAATTTCTCTGTATTGTAAATGTTTTTGTTACTGAACTGTACCACTGTTGTTCTCACACAACATAAAAAAATAAAAATAATTCTTTTCTTCCTATAATGTCCATCATTGTTAACATACCACCCATGGGATGTTTTAATGACTAATGCCTTTGCCTTTTCCCATTCTGCACTAAGAAAAAATTTTTGTACTTTCTAACACATTCTCACTTTCTACATCTTTCCTTCTGCATTTAAGAAGAAACTATACTGTTCTTGTACACAACTGTCATAACATTTATTTTATGGTTTTATTACTTGTCCCATTATTTACTTAAGGTTATATAACACAGTGTTAAAAACTGATTCTGTAACCAGATTATTAAATTCTCTGGTGCCTATATCAAAAGGATCTTAAACAAACTAATTCTTTTCTTTGAACATTAGTTTCTTAATCTTTAATAACACCTACTTTATGGGATTAACTTGAAGATCTTATGAGAAAACCAACTTTAAGCACTCAATACAAGTAGACAAAAATTGCCCATCCTTTGGACAAAGAAATGTTGATAAAGCACTTGCTTTGAAATCACATAATCTTGCATTCAGACCTGGCTTGTAGCTCTGGTACTTAGCTGTTGTAAGACTCAAGATTCCTTATCTATAAAAATAAGGGTCATATCTCAAAAAGCTGCTGTGAGGACTAAAGGAGTTTGTTGAATGCCAAGTACGAATAGGGAATACCTCACCATAGCTATCCAACTTTAAGAAAATGAAGATACAAAAGCTAAAAAACTGTTTCATGGTGTTTATTGGCAGTGTTAATATGAATATATGATGGAATAGTGATGTCCACCCTACTTTAGAGGAATTTTTTTTTTTAACTTGAAGTATAGGGATAGCTGAGGAGAAGGGAAAGAAATGGAGTAAAAATGAGAAAGGAATGACATTTATCTCTGGGTCTTTCAGAAAATTAGCATGATGATCATGACAGAGAAATTAAGACCAAAAGCATCTAGCCTAAAGATCTAAGACAGGGAAATGATTGTTTTCTGGTCAAAGCTCTTTCCAGCAACTGTAACCCTTGAGCCAAGACATGGAAAAATATTTGTCCAATTTTAAGAAAATCTAACACATTAAAGTAATCCACTTGTAATTATTCAGTACATTTATTTGAACATCTACTATGTTCATGCCACAAAATAGAAATAAATATGAACAAATCCTAGAGTGAATTTATAGAGCAACTGCTTTAGTTCACAGGTTTCCCCTATCCATTAAAAATACTTTTTGATCAAACTTTCTAGATCTTTCCTCCCCTATAAAATTAAATTTATCTTGTTTCTTCCTATATGAATAAAGTTGACCTTCAAGGAAAACTATCAACTGTTTATATTTTGACTTCTTGACATCCCTTAGTAGTAAACATACCTCAGATTGAGAAGTACTAACATCTGATTAAATAAAAACTTCCTTTAAATAATATACATGACTCTCATCAAAGTGATCCTCTTGTCGCCTTCTCCAGCATCATCTCTTTCCACTTGCTCCCACTAACCAACCACACCTACATGTACACCATGTTAAGCATTTTCTCTTTGCTTGTACTGTACCTTCTTCCTAAAGTGGCTTTGCCTTCTCTTTGACTCTCTTTTATACAAAACTCTCTCACAAGAAGCTGTCCCTCACCCTGACCATTTCTCCTCATGATAGAAGTAGTTCCTCTGATTCCTAGAACAGACACACATCATTGCATTTAATACCTTGTTTCACAAGTTGTATGATAAGTGCACCAGAAGATAAGTCATACTTAGAACAATGCCAGGAGCAAAGGTTATATAGATTTGCATAGTGAAAAAGTATTTAAATTCCATGAGAATTTTATTTAAATGTGTAATATACATAAGAGCAATTAAAACTGTTTTTAGGTTTGGGGTTATAGCTCAGTGGTAGAACACTGGTTAGTATATCAAAGGTCCTGGATATGATCCACAAATAAATAGTTTAAGGACAGTATTTGTTTTTGTAATGCTGCCACCTAGTGTTGATGTGTTTGGAATATCTTTGTGAAGAATTAAGGTTTTTCTTTTTCTTTTTTAATGTAAAAGTAATGATGTAATGACTATAAGCAAGACAAAGCAATAGAATTGTGCTTCTTTTGCAGACTAGGGACAATGAAATGTTTAGCTACAATTTTCCATACAAACATGAAACAATATTCATATAGAATAAACACCCTCCAAGATAACTGATGGGTGATGAACAAATACACCAAGTTTGACCAAAGCAAAATACAAACTGAAAAGTGTTGGGATTGTTCATGTTTTAAATTTAACATGCTTGTTTTATTTAAAAAATACCTATAGAAACTCATCATAGATTGCTTGTATTTCCAGACATGACAGAGAAGGCATACTCCATTGTTAACTGTTGTTAAAGTAATGTTTAAGTTTGAAATTATTCTTAGAACACATATTAAAATAACTTTAGATAAAATGCCTTCTTCAACAATTAGCTGGTTTATTTAAAAATTTGTTTTGACTTTTCTCCAATAACATGTGTTTGCTTTGGTTTTGATAAATAAGGTTTCTATTTATTTTTGAACAAGCTATTATAGCAGGTCTTGTCTTAGAGCAGTATTAGTTTTATACCTTAATAACAAAGTTGTATTGCCTGTGTCCTTTCTGTAATTAGGTGTTTTTGGTTTTTGGACACAGTGTAATATAGAATTTTTGTTTGCTCCTCAGTAAAAAAGTCCTTTGAAATCAAGGCTGAGAAATCTAAACGTGTTTTGGTCCCAGAAAAGCTTTGGAAGAGAATATTTCTGTTTAATATAGTGTTAATAAGAGCACAGCCTTCTCTTTCTCATAACGTGGGTTCTCATGAAGTATTCCAAACTGGATACAGAGAATAAAATCTAGTCTCTATTCTAAAGGAATTTCTAGGAAACCAGATGGAATAACTAGATTAGTTTTCCACCCATTTTCAATTTGATATCATTGTTTCATCTGAAATTATTCCTAAAAGTTCATATAACTAATTTTAGAAACTAAATAATAAAGCATCTTCTAAAGCCTTCTTAATGTCTGTTCCTTCACTTCCCATTTAGTGTAGGTACTCTGTAGATAAATGTCAGTGACTACCTTTACAAATTTTATCATTTAGCAGTATTTCATATCTATATACGTATACTTTGCAATGTGGGTACAATAGAATGTGATGAAAACAGGTAACAAGTTTGGGTGAAGGGAATAACTAATGGTCAAATAGAGGACTTACAGAAATGCATGGTGTTGTACTTAATAACTGTAGGATTTCTTTCTTTTTTATATACTTATTTTTTAGTTGTAGTTGTACACAATACCTTTACTTTATTTATTTTTATGTGGTGCTAAGGATCAAACCCAGCACCTTGCACATGCTAGGCAAGCACTCTACAGCTGAGCCACAACCCCAGCCCAATAATCGTGGGATTTCTAAAGGTGAGATATAAATTTATTTTAAGCAATGGGCAGTCTTTACTATTGAAAACTCACTTGTCCATAAGGCTAATGAACATCAGTTACTTTGGAGAAGCAAAAAATAATTTTTAATAAGTCCTTGTTCTTTTTTGTTGTTGTTAACTTACATTTTTTACTAACAGAATTACTGAATTGATGGGATATGAGCCAGAGGAACTTTTGGGCCGCTCAATTTATGAATATTATCATGCTTTGGACTCTGATCATCTGACCAAAACTCATCACGACAGTAAGTATAATAAAGGGGAAACTCATGCATATTCTAATTATTTAATCTTTTCTGTCTATACATCTAACTTTCTGGTTAAAATTAGTCTTTCTAGACTAAATTGTTAACATACCTCTTCATAAGGATTTTGGTCATTAAATCTTTGAGATTTATTACAATGAATACCAATAAAAGTAGAATCATTTAGTAATATATAAAACATTTAGCATTTTAAATACAAAGACTTTTTTTTTTAATAACTTTTATTTATTTTTATGTGGTGCTGAGGATCGAACCCAGGGCCTTGCACATGTGAGGCGAGTGCTCTAACGCTGAGCCATAACCCCAGCCCCACAAAGACTTTTAAAACAACCAGATATTATAGAATATTTAACAGCATCCTTTTCAGAATCCATACTTAAATAATTGGATCAGTGATTGGCATACCGAAGGCATTCAGAAAATACTTGTTCAATGAATGTGAAGGTGTTCAACATCATGTACATGTGATAACAAGTACTCTTGATAATAAGATGATTCTTAATTTTATTCAAATGAATGTTATTTAAGATCCAAACTTAAGTTAAACTTTGGAATTTCTCACCTGCCTATTTAATCTATATCTAAACATGACTTCCCAATGTGATTAGGAAGGCCCAAATGTCACTTAAAAAGTGTGATTAGCCTTGAATTACAGAGCCCAAATCCATCTGCATTCAGGGCCTGAATACTCATAATAGCATCAATATGATTTATTCACTGCTTTTTTTTTTTAATCTTTATTTATGTGGTGCTGAGGATGGAACCCAGTGCCTCATATATGCAAGGCAAGCACTCTACCGCTGAGCCACAACTCCAGCCCCTTATTCACTGCTTTTTTCCAAATAAGTTAATTTTACATTGCATGAATTGCCAAAAACCTACATTATGGTATCAGTTTATATTCAAATATGCTAAGTGCAGTTTTTTGAAGTCTGATTGTCTAGAAATTAGAGCAGGAATTTAAGGAAACGGTAGTACTGCTTTCTTGTAATATCAAGCAGTGATCATTCTCTAGTCTGACACTTTCAACACAAATCAAAGTAATTTCAGCCACTGTTCTCTCTTGGCTTTTTGTTTTATTTATAGTAAAGATTGATGGGGGGGGGGGCATGTTTTCAGCTATCCTGGGGCTTTCTCCTTCAATTTAAATAGTTAACAACTGATACCACTAAAGTAAACATTTCTCCCCTTTTCTAAAACAGTGATCTACATTCAACATCTGTCCATTTGATTGAAAATTCAAAGCTATTTCCTCTGTATCGTTCTTTTTCTTTTTCATTCCCAGTGTTTACTAAAGGACAAGTCACCACAGGACAGTATAGGATGCTTGCCAAAAGAGGTGGATATGTCTGGGTAGAAACTCAAGCAACTGTTATATATAACACCAAGAACTCTCAACCACAATGCATTGTATGTGTAAATTATGTTGTAAGGTAAGCTGGCAAATAAACATTTTGGGGAGACCAAGTAGTTAAGTTTTGGGACACTCTTTTTTAAAAAATAGTTTTTTGTTGTTGTTGTTGTCAATGGACTTTCATTATTTTTTATTTTTTTATATGCAGTGCTGAGAATTGAACCCACTGCCTCACATGTGCTAGGCAAGTGTTGTACCACTGAGCTACAACTCTAGCCCCTTTGGGCACTTTTTATAGGAAGAGGAAATTGTAAATATTAATTTTATTTTCACTTTTCTATAGAATTATGATTTTCATGTCAAATAGTTCACAGTGATTCCACTGAATACTACCAGTAGTTGTCTATCCACACTTTGACTCCTATTTTTTAATAAGACCTTGAAAAAAAAAAAAAAACTTGATCTATGGATTAGTTTGCTTTAGTCTTTCAACTCTAGGCATATACTATCTACATACATAGCTCAAGGCAGCTGTTATTTGTGTAGGGAGAATACTGGTCTTAGAATGGTCTTATGTTATAGCTCTGCCACTCATTAGATCTGTGACCTTGGAGAAGTCTCATTTCTCCTAATTCCATCCATGTAGGTAAGATAATACCTGAAAAGGTTTTAACAAAGACTATATGAAAGTCTGGGTGAGGCTGCTATAAAAGGCTATAAAGTGACATGTGGCTTTTGTTATATTCTTGAACTCCTCTCTTAGTTCATTAGTTTGTAACTATATGGACATCTAAAACTAATCTTGTATTAGCTTTATGCCAGTAGAATCTACCCCATTTAGTCTGTTTTCCACATTATCACAACATTCTAGTTCATCTACCTGACTGAGCTTTCTATGTAGATATCATTTTCTCACTGTTCTTTTTAAAAGATTTTAAATAGTTTAAATATTTGAGCAAATAGTAATTCATGAATTGGAAAGGACTAAACTCAAAGGGGGCTTGGGCTCCATTGATGTACCATAAAGGATAGACTTTTAATAGTGAATTTTGGAGTAATACATCTTTACAATTTTTTTTTAAAGATCCCTTTATTACTCCCAAGATAAACTCCTGTCTACTTGCATGGCATCACTTCTTGTTATCATACTCCCTTGTTTCCATAGATTTAGCTCTTCCTCCAAAATCTCTGATCTTCCTCTTAGGAAGACTTTGGTTATTTGTTTTTATTTTTTCCACTTGTGACACTATCCTTCAGAGTTTCAATTTTGTGTCAAAGAATTCTTGTGGGGGCTGGGGTTGTGGCTCAGTTGTAGAGCGCATAGCGCGCTTGCCTGTAGGCACTGGGTTCTATTCTCAGCGCCACATACAAATAAATAAAACAAAGGTCCATCAACAACTAAAAAAATATTTAAAAAAAAAAGAATTCTTGTGAACTGGGGTTGTAAATCAGTGGTAGAGTACTTGCCTAGCATATGTGAAGCACTGGGTTCGATCCTTAGCACCACAATAAAAATAAATAAAAGTATTGTGTCTATCTACAACTAAAAAAATTGTTTTTAAAAAAAAGCATTCTTGTGTGACATTACCATTATGTAAGAATACTCTACTCTTTCCCTCACCTCACTTTGCCTAATAACTACATGTGAGTTCAACTTTCAACTTGTTAGCCTTTCTGTTAAGTAAGTCTTCTCTGTTTTAGCAGTGATCACATTTGCAATTTTATTTTCACACGGGGTTATAAACTTCTTGAGGGCAAGGTTTGGGTATTTTGATTTTTATATCCTCTGTTCATTCCACAAAGTGAACATTTAATATGTTAACTAAAGTAATAATAAAATTTACATTGAAGCCAAACATAAAACTGGAGCTATTGTTCATCATCCTTCCCCCACCCGTATTCTGAAGGTGTTACCACCACATCATCTTCCTACCCCCAAAGAAAACAAGTGCCCCTTTTTAGAAAGAGTGTAGTCATCTTACCCTTATATCTTTATATTGTAGAACCATCCTTAGGCCATGCTTCATATATTAGTCCCAAAGAGTTGTTTTGTGCCAATTTCATTAGTCAAATATTTGAGTTAACTTCTGTGAATTTTATTAGGTCTTTTAAAACATATGTGACGAGTATGCATGAGAGATCATCCATCTCAAGGAATATTAAAATGTTCATTTTTAAAAAGGAGAATGTAAGAGACAAGATCATTTCATAGTCCCCCTCACCCTTATTGTTTCAAGTAATCATTTAAGAATTACTAATCTCTTTTTTTGACAGTGGTATTATTCAGCATGACTTGATTTTCTCCCTTCAACAAACCGAATGTGTCCTCAAACCAGTTGAGTCTTCAGATATGAAAATGACTCAGCTCTTCACCAAAGTTGAATCAGAGGATACAAGTAGCCTCTTTGATAAACTTAAGAAGGAACCTGATGCTTTAACTTTGCTGGCCCCAGCTGCTGGAGACACAATCATATCTTTAGATTTTGGCAGCAATGGTGGGTAGTTAGGTATTTTCTTAATCTCCTAAACTATGTTTGTTGCTATACGCTCCATAAAATGTTAGTCGTCATTTGGATACTGCTTATGTTTTGTTTTAATAGTCTTCTTGAAATTATTCACTGAAATATTTTTACTCTTATGATTTCTTTGCATTCCTGCTTTTTAAGTATTTTGGAGAATTTTGCTCCTAAATATCCTTAAGGTATTTTTTCTTTCTGCTTTAATTTTCTCTAGCTACTCTATTTCTATATACTGCTGTCAGATTTTCTGTACTATTTAGTAGAGCCATATTGCAGTCAATGTAGTTGAATTAAAGGATAAATAAGAAGTCATACCATAATAGTAAACACTGAAAATGGGAACTAGATTATTGTAATTTCAAACTAGGTTAAAATTCAATGTATAGAAAGGTTGGAAATGCAGGTCTATCCCATATAGATTAGCAGAAGGTGCCAGTAGTAGACTAAAAAGATAAGTCAAGACTTATGATTATACCATATCTGTAAACTTTCCAATTAAGGAAAACATGGTTTACATTTGTCACCATTTGTCACCCAAGTGAATTACACAAATCTTGTAAAAAGGAACAACCTTCTATGGGTTAAAATTTTTATATTCTTTAGGTTGACTCATTTTTTTTCCCCCTTCAGACCCAGAAACTGAAGACCAACAACTTGAAGAAGTTCCACTGTATAATGATGTAATGTTCCCCTCATCCAGTGAGAAATTACAAAATATAAATCTGGCCATGTCTCCATTACCTGCCTCTGAAACTCCAAAGCCACTTCGAAGTAGTGCTGACCCAGCACTCAATCAAGAAGTTGTATTAAAATTAGAGCCAAATCCAGAGTCACTGGAACTTTCTTTTACCATGCCCCAGATTCAAGATCAACCAGCCAGTCCTTCTGATGGAAGCACTAGACAGAGTTCACCTGAGGTAGGTGCCATGATAAGAATAACTTTCAGATTTTAAAATTCAGGTATATATTTTTTAATTTGATTTACACTTATAATTTGGACATGTCACTTTATATATTAATCTTTTGGGGGAGAAGCAGTTTTGTTTGTTTGTTTGTTTTTAATGTGGTACTGGGGATTAGAACCTTGTGCATGTGAGGCAGGCACTCTACCAACTGAACTATATCCCCAGCCTCTTATGTGTTAATCTTAACACTCTAAAATTATGTATAAGCTATCAGCCTAATGTAGAATTCAACATGTTTTAGGCTCAGAGACAGGAACATGAGAAAGAAGTGGCTTCGTATAAACCTGAATGTAAAACTTAGGTTATTTACATATCCACAGAGAATACAACTACTTATGTGTACTCCAGGTAGCTCTAGCCTATACCTATCACCTCTTTGAACTAGAAAACTCTCCAGTGGCAAAAAGCTTAGCAAAGTTTAAATGGGAAAGGGCTTTACAAGTTCTGTGCCCAATTTAGTTCAATTTTTTTTTTTTTTAATTTTTTTTATTGGTTGTTCAAAACATTATAAAGCTCTTGATATATCATATTTCATACATTAGATTCCAGTTGGTTATGAACTCCCAATTTTACCCCAAATACAGATTGCAGAATCACATCGGTTACACATCCACATTTTTACATAATGCCCTATTAGTAACTGTTGTATTCTGCTACCTTTCCTATCCTCTACCATCCCCCCTCCCTCCCCTCCCATCTTCTCTCTCTACCCCATCCACTGTAATTCATATCTCTCCTTGTTTATTTTCCCATTCCCCTCACAACCTCTTATATGTAATTTTGTATAACAATGAGGGTCTCCCTCCATTACCATGCAATTTCCCATGCAATTTCAATTTTTATCACTATTTTGTAATTCTGGATAAGTATAGCATGAAAATACAAAGTCTTACAGATTATATATTTAGTGATTTTCAATCTGATTTCTTGATATTAATAGTCCTAAAACTCAATAAAAGAACCTCCTCTTACTAAAACTATGATCAGGAATAGGGCAACTTTGATCTGAATGATATATGAGGCACAAATAAGTCAATAAGTGGTAAATAATCCTACATTAAAGTAATCAAAATTGGCATGCTAAGAGTAGGAGATGTGAAATCTCAGTCTTTTGGAAAATATATCCTTTGCTCTGATTGCTTAGTTGAGTATCACAAAAAATGTTTGATTATTTTGTCTTTGACAAAAGTGAACTAATAAAAAAAAAAAAAGCTATAATGGGGGAAAGTAAAATTTTATACTTAAAGTAGCTGTAAGATTTTTAGGTAGATCACCACAGGAGTATGCCTTCTCTGTACAGAGGCAGATTCTAGTGAACACATCATCTGCTTAATTGGCCAATTAGCTACCATTATGGGTTAGGTAAGTTTTATTCTTTAGAATAATAGATGAGTGCATCTTTTAATCTTAATTTTACAAATGATGTCATATAGTGTGGAATATGTATATTGGCAAAATTCGTTCCAGTAAAAGCTCAAGCATGTAACTTTTTGTTAGATTGTTTTGTTTATTGGATTTTGTCTATGTGTTTTCGGAGGTCTGAGGTGGAAATTGTAGGCTAGCATAACAGATGGAGGCTTCTTCAGGGAAACATAAACACATTTAATTCCTTTTACAGCCTAACAGTCCCAGTGAATACTGTTTTGACGTGGATAGTGATATGGTCAATGTATTCAAGTTGGAATTGGTAGAGAAACTTTTTGCTGAAGACACAGAAGCAAAGAATCCATTTTCAACTCAGGTATATGGATTTGTTTATTTTGTAATGAGTTTAATTAATTTGTAGTCTAAAGTTACTAAACTTATTTTTCTTTTACAAGGTATGACCATTGTAAAAATTCACGTATTTGTTGTTTTACAGGACACTGATTTAGACTTGGAGATGTTGGCCCCCTATATCCCAATGGATGATGATTTCCAGTTACGTTCCTTCGATCAGCTGTCACCATTAGAAAGCAGTTCTTCAAGCCCTCAAAGTGTGAGCACAATTTCAGTATTCCAGCAGACTCAAATTCAAGAACCTACTATTAATACCACCACTGCCACCACTGATGAATTAAAAACAGTGACAAAAGATGATATGGAAGACATTAAAATACTGATTACATCTTCGTCTCCCACCCATGCACCTAAAGAAACTACTAGTGCCACAACATCATCATATAATGATACTCAAAGTCGAACCGCCTCACCAAACAGAGCAGGAAAAGGAGTCATAGAACAGACAGAAAAATCTCATCCAAGAAGCCCTAACGTGGTATCTGTCACTTTGAGTCAAAGGTATTTATATGTAACATTGAAGTTATAGTTCTTCTGTTATATTGAAGTTATAGTTCTTTTATTATATTATGAATGTGATGTTACATGATTTGTAAACAGAGCACTTGCATGGCATATATGAGGCTCTGGGTTTAGTGGCTAGTATTGAATAAAAGTTACTCTTATTTTTCATTGGATATTTGTACAACATTAGCTATATTATAGGTTAAATGGTTTTTTTTTTTTAAGGTGGGGTGGGAGGCCTGTACCAAGAATCCTACAGTGACTTTAGCATTGCTTCTATGGAATGAAGCAATGTTTGAGCAAATATGTGGCTATAATCCAATTTTTAAGTTATAGCTAGGTGTGGTGGTGCACACCTGTAATCCCAGCCATTCAAGAGCCAGGTGGGAGTATTCCAAGTTCAAGCCTAGCCTCAGCAACTTAGGGAGGCCCCAAGCAACTATGAGAGACTCTGTCTCACAATAAAATGGGCTGGGGATATGGCTCAGTGGTAAAGCACCCCTGGGTTTAATCCCCAGTACCAAAAATTTTTCTCTATGTAATTTGTAATTGGATTTGACATGTTTTAAATTTAAAGCTATAATTAAAGGAAAGAGGTTTTAGGTAGTCAGTATAGAGAAGAAAAGTGATTGCTTTACTATATCTAGACTGAACCAGCTGTCAACAGCAATAGGAAAGAACTACCATAACCAGAGTATATGCCCTTCTTCCCCTGTCCTGCATCCTACCTTGACCTACAATGCCAGGAAAAAAATCTGGGGGCTTTAGATTTAAATTCAGAAATAGTTTACAAATTACTATAACAATGACTGACTTCCAACCCTGAGCTCCACTAGGGCAATGTCAGTGTCTTAGGCATTTGAGTGATAGTAATACTAGCTCAGTTCCTGACAGATAGTTTTTGCTTGCTGGAGTGATAAAATGGATATAATAATATAAATGATAATAACCTGTTGTTTACTGCATACTATCAGCTATAGAAGATGGGATATTCAATTTTCTGATCAACTATTCCTTGGATTTTTAGTTGTCAAAACCAAATCTAGGGGTTGGGGTTATAGTTCAAGTGGCAGAGCTCTTGCCTCGCACATGTGAGGCACTGGATTCAATCCTCAACACCACATAAAAATAAATAAAGTATGGGCTGGGATTGTGGCTCAGTGGTAGAGCGCTCGCCTCGCACAGGTGGGACCCGGGTTCGATCCCCAGCACCACATAAAAATAAAGGCATTATGATGTGTAAATCTACACCTAAAAAAATAAATATTTTTAAAAAATTAAGTAAACATTAAAAAAATCTAATATCAGATCACTTAGTTCTATAACATTAGCTACAAAATCATGGGTACACTTGTAACTTTCAAGTTTATATGGAGGCTTTTTTCTCCCTCCTTGTTAGGTAATTATTTACAAAATCAAAGTGCTATACTAAACCAGAATATTTGTAGTTTTAGAGTGAGAATTAAAGATAAATTACTAAAAGTACTACTACTAAGTACTTACATGATGACTGAGTTATGTTTCATAAATACAATATATTTATAAGAGTTTTAAAACCTGCCTGTCTATAGACTAGAGATTTTATACAATTTTTAACAGAACAAAATGCATATAGAAAGGGAGTTAGAGTGATATTGCTTACCTATCCGCATTCTCAACTATCTGGACAGACCAAGGAGCCATTATGATATATATTATGAGAGGGAGGGGTTCTAAAAAAGCCAAAATAAATGTAACCCACATATTTGGCTCTTTATTACAATTCTTCACCACTTAATATTAGTTTTACATACAGGTAGCACAGGTTTGATAACCAAATCAATACTAAGGGCAAAATTAACAATAATGAGAAGGCCAATAGAGGAAAGGGTGGATCTGGAGACCTGGAGTGTACTTCCATTTGTGCAACTAATTAACTGTGGGACTCTGACCAACTTACCTACTAGGCTTCAGGTTTCTTAATTATAAAATGGGTATGACAATACCTGTCATACATACCTTAGAACTGGAGCAAGTTTAAAATGAAGTAATGAATATGAAATATTTTAATAACTGAAATACTAGACAAGCGTGAAATCAATCTTACATTACAGTAATCCTGAGAATATTGGTGTATTCTTAATTAAGTGGAAAAAAGGCTAGTTTCTAACTCTTTTATCTACAATAATGACAACTGAGTTTTGTTTGGTTCTACTTTATAAAATAGGGTTATGGGGGCTGGGGATGTGGCTCAAGCGGTAGCGCGCTCCCCTGGCATGGTTGCAGCCTGGGTTCGATCCTCAGCACCACATACAAACAAAGATATTGTCTCTGCCGAAAACTAAAATGTAAATAAAATATTTAAAAAAAAAAAAAAGAGCTGGGAATGTAGTCCAGTTGGTAGAACACTTGCCTAATGTGTGAGGCTCTGGGTTCAATCCCCAGTATGGCACCCCTTCTCCAATTTTCTTTTTTTTTTTTTTTAAGAAATAAAATAGGGTTACATATGGTTTAGAAAATTTTCTGTTGTAAAAAGTGAGCTTCTGAGTGAGGGGTATAGCTCAGTGATCTTGTATTATGCACAAGGCCCTGGGTTAAATCCCTAGCTTTTGCTTTTTTTTATTTTATTTTTTTATTTTTTAGTTTTCAGCGGACACAACATCTTTGTTTTCATATGGTGCTGAGGATCGAACCCCGTCCACTCGCATGCCAGGCGAGCACGCTACCGCTTGAGCCACATCCCCAGCCCCTAGCTTTTGCTTTTTAAAGTGATAAATGTTAGCAGTCAGGAAAGTTCCATTATGTACACAACATTATATTCCTTAATGTTGGAAACTAGGGCATATTATGCATTTTGTTTAAAAGAGCTTGATTAGATATTTTATCTAGAACATTTTCTTTTCCAGAAATACAGTTCCTGAGGAAGAATTAAATCCAAAGATATTAGCTTTGCAGAATGCTCAGAGAAAGCGAAAAATGGAACACGATGGTTCACTTTTTCAAGCAGTAGGAATTGTAAGTGTGAGAGTAAACATGTTGCTTTTCTACTCTAGCTAATGTGCTACTTTCAAGTTATATATAGGCAATTTAAGAAGTGATACATTGGGCTTTCTTATTTGATACACACTAATTTTTTAAAATACAGTTAATGAATGCATTATTGGAGTAAAAATTCTAAACAATACAGATACATTCTGAGTAAGAAATGAAGTTCTCACATTTCTCCACTCTAGATATCACCTCTGATCTCATTTTCTTTGTGTTATTCTCCCTTATTAGTAAAACCACTGTGTAATAATGAATAGCAAATGGCTTTACCATAGTTATTATTAGGAGAAAGAATAAAAATAATATAGGGCAGTATTTAAGAAACCTGCCTATATGTTGCTATTAAACTTAAATGCATTTCAAAGTCTAATTGTAAAAAAAAAATTCAACATAATAAATTTGAAATAACTTACTCTTTTTAGGGCACACTATTACAGCAACCAGATGATCGTGCAACTACTACATCACTTTCTTGGAAACGTGTAAAAGGATGCAAATCTAGTGAACAGAATGGAATGGAGCAAAAGACAATTATTTTAATACCCTCTGGTTAGTTTGTTTTGCCCTCAAACATCACAAGGACAATTACAATAAATGAAATTTTTTTACCAGGAGCTTTACTCCAAGTGAGAGTGATTTAGATTCCTTAGCAAAATGGAAAAAGTAAAGTGTATCACATTTATTCTACTGACTGTATTTAGGGTAGATACATCAAGATGGAACTTTCACTCTGTAGTAATTCTTTCTGATGTATCTAGCTTTATGTGCTATCAATATTGATAGAAGAGGAATCTTATGAATTCTTTTACCAAACTGATTTATCACTTTTCTATGCCTTCATTGTCTCCTGTAAATATTTCTGATGTGGGACTGGGATTGTGGCTCAGCGGTGGAGTGCTTGTCTGGCATGTGCAGGGTCCTAGGTTCAATCCTTGGCACCACATAAAAATAAATAAAATAAGGGTATTGTGTCCAACTACAACTAAAAAATAAATATTTTTAAAAAAAATTTCTGATCTAGCACCAATAATACTTGACTGCATTTATTTGTTTACATTGCTGTGGTTTTGGCCAAATGACTAAAAACCCATCCAGAAGTTTGTTTTATTTTCCCCCAAACCTAATGCATAGTGGAAGTTTAATAAATTTAATGAATACTTGTGTGTTTCTTTCTTTTTTAGATTTAGCATGTAGACTGCTGGGGCAATCAATGGATGAGAGTGGATTACCACAGCTGACCAGTTATGATTGTGAAGTTAACGCTCCTATACAAGGCAGCAGAAACCTACTGCAGGGTGAAGAATTACTCAGAGCTTTGGATCAAGTTAACTGAGCTTTTTCATGATTTCATTCCTTTTTGTTTCTTCTTCTTTTTTTTTCTTTTTAATTTTTTGGACACTGGTGGCTCATTACCTAAAGCAGTCTATTTATATTTTCTATATCTAATTTTAGAAGCCTGGCTACAATACTGCACAAACTCAGATAGTTCAATTTTGATCCCCTTTCTACTTATTTACATTAATGCTCTTTTTTAATATGTTCTCTAATGCTAGATCACAGACAGCACATTTTCACAGATCTTTGGTGTTTAAACCATTGCATTGTAGTAGCATCATTTAAAAATGCACCTTTTTATTTATTTATTTTTGGCTAGGGAGTTTGTCCCTTATTGATTTATTTTTAATAAGATGCCAATATAATTTTTTAAGAAGGCAGTAACCTTTCATCATGATCACAAACAGCTGAAACATTTTTACTCATTTTTCACATTTTACATAAACAATAATGCTTTGCCAGCAGTACATGGTAGCCACAATTGCACAATATATTTTCTTAAAAAGTACCAGCAGTTACTCATGCAATATATCCTGCATTTATAAAACTAGTTTTTAAGAAGAAATTTTTTTTGGCCTATAAAATTGTTAAACCTGGAACTTGACATTGTTAATCTTATAATAATGATTCTTAAATGCTGTATGGTTTATTATTTAAATGGGTAAAGCCATTTACATGATATAGAAAGATATGCATATATCTGGAAGGTATGTGGCATTTATTTGGATAAAATTCTCAGTTCAGAGAAATCATCTGATGTTTCTGTAGTTACTTTCCCAGCTCAAAAGAAAACAATACCCTATGTAGTTGTGGAAGTTTATGCTAATATTGTGTAATTGATATTAAACCTAAATGTTCTACCCACTCTGTTGGTATAAAGATTTTGAGCAGACTGTAAACAAACAAAAAAATCATGCATTGTTAGTAAAATTGCCTAGTATGTTAATTTGCTCAAAATATGATGTTTGGTTTTATGCACTTTGTCGCTATTAACATCCTTCTTTTTTCATATAGATTTCAATGATTGAGTAATTTAGAAGCATTATTTTAGGAATATATAGTTGTTGTAGTAAACATCTTGTTTTTTTCTATGTACATTGTATAAATTTTTCATTCCTTTGCTCTTTGTGGTTGGGTCTAACACTAACTGTATTGTTTTGTTATATCAAATAAACATCTTCTGTGGACCAGGCCCCCTTTGATTAGCTTTTATGTTTAAATAGTATTTGCATCATCTCCAGCTCATGAAATTGTTCCTAACAATTTAAGTACTTTATGAAAATTATATTGTACGCTTCTGCATTTATCTCATTGCCATTATTATCTTAATGTATGCTGTGTCCCTAAATGTCATGTTAACTAATAACCATAGTATTACATTGTAAAGAGTATGTTTTTTAGAAAAGAAACCTGCCGTTTGTAAATTTATGAGCCTATTAAAGTGTAAAACACAAAATTTTAATATTTTTAGTATAAATGAAATGAGTGAAGCAAATCATGGACATTGTAATCATATACTATTGTAAAGGTTAGTGGTTCCTCTAAAGATTTCTAATCTATTCCCATTAACAGATGAAAAAGTTTAGACTGCAAATGATGAATGATTTGCTCAAGCCATAAAAGTAATAAATGTAGACCAAAGATTTAGCTTAGGGCTTCTGAATCTAATGTTAAACCTACAACAAACATTTGTTGTTTTTGTTTTAATCATTCTGTATTTTGATTTTAAATAGCTTTCTTTCTGCTATGCTTTTCTTGTATAAACAGCTATTTCTTTTACAGTTTCTTTTTTTAAAAAAAACCCTAAGTATAGAAAGATATGAAAATAAGAGACAAAAATCACTGTTAATCTCTGCACCTAAAGGTAACAGAAAGTGCACACGTGTGTTGCTGGGGATCGAACCCAGGCACAAATACAAAACAAGCACTCTACCATTGAGCTATACACTTAGTCCCCCAAATTTATTTATATTGATAAATTACATGGGCTGTGCCAGAGCCCTGGGTTCTTTATCTTGAGGTATGTATCCTGAACAAGATGAACTAGCTATAGATCTCTTAAATAGCTGTTCTTAGAACGGGACAACAACTACATGAAAATTTGGGAACAAAAGTTCACAATACTGATATTAAATACAGAACCTTGGGGACACAGGTATAATTCACCCCAAATACTATGACCCAACGTACTTCTCATTTAGTAACAGATATTACCAGAGGTGACACTTTAGAATAAAGTAGTTGCTTAATATTCCCAGATGACAAAATTTTAGAATTATGCTTATTGATTAAGAAAATTAGTTTCAGTTGAAAACTAGAAGTTTATAATTTTCAAATGTAAATAAATGGGATTACTACACAACAGGCCAGAAGTCTGGGAAAATGACCTGTGAGGACGATGATTTAGGAGGGAAAGCCATGTTAAAGAACAGGTGAGCTAGAAGAAAAGTACCAAGTGCTCAGTTACTCAGAAAAAAAGTCACCTGGAGTGCTTAGAACTATGTAAACACATCTAGCACTTCCTTCCCAGCACTGTATGCCATCAGGAATTTCTTTATAATGCCTTCATCCAAAGAGTATAACCCAACAATGTCATTTTATCCTTATAGTTCTCTCTCCTCCCTATATGTCTATGCTTCCTATCTCTTTTCTGGTGCAATGAATGAATGAATGACTTTAGTATTACTTTCATCCTGAGGAAAGTGTGGCAGAAGGGATTAGCATATTTTGTTCATCTGTTACTGTTAAGTGTAGAACTGAAACTAGTTACTGAGCAAGCCTACCACTGCCAGGTACAGTGCTCATAGATTAAAATGACTCTAACATCTGTTGAATACACTAGACTTTGTGCTAAGCATTTTGCTTGTTATCTCACACTCTTCACAAATCCCTATGAATTAGTACTTGTATCTCACTTTGTACATTTGAAAGTCTTGGGAAAGTTGGTCCAATGTTCAAAGCTGCTGAGCAGGCCATCAGTGATTCCAAAGCCCATGGTGCTAACCACCATGCAGAAAGTACTAGTCACTCCAGTAGAACAAATCCTTGTCCCCCATTTTCAACTGTTCAAATAGTAAATGGGGGAAAATAAAGGGAGTGTATAAAACTGAAGGCCATTTGTCACTTGGAATTGAGGTCACCCAGGACATTGAGGGATGTCCTAAAAGGAGTGGCATGACATGTAGAATAGAATTATTTCAAAGAGTTATTTAGTGGGTTTGGGGTCTGAACTAAAGATTCAGATTCCAGATTATAGAGACATTATTAACTCACTGGTAAACAAGGTGTAGTGTGTGGGAAAGCATTTGAACTATAAAAGGCTGTTACGTATGGTATGGTGGACTTTATGGCATAACAGACATGTTCATTTTCATTTGCGCTTGTATAACCTCACAATTAACCCTTCCAATCTTGATTTCCTCATGTAAACATCCAAGAGGTTTGAAAGATAAATTTAGTTACCAGCTTTGCAGAAACAAACATTCTAAAAGGTAAGAATTTTAATGTAGCAATGTCAAAAACAAGTTACAAAGAATACGAAATATTTTTTTAACTTTGTAATTTGATTAGATAAAAACCTTTGCATACATGTTGCTAGCGAGAACCAAGGAAAATGTAAAGAAGAAAAACCTTATTGGGGTGTTTTAAGTTTGCCACTAACCTCTTTGCTCATTTCTTCCCTTTAAATAGCGCTGAACCTGTTATCCATATTATTTCGCGTTTAAAGCAATGTGTAGAATCTAATTCGACATAATTTCCTGTCGGATAAAAGCTACACTTGACCACAAACCTTACTATCATCGCCTTCTGGAGTTTGTTGTGTTCACACCTTCCAGAGGTTTGGACATAATGTTTATTCTTACCTTTAATTGACGGTTTTTATCCAGGATGGTGCCAGACACCCGATCTCCGTGTACTATTTTAATTTCCTTCCCGGCTCCATTCTGGGACGGAGAGAAAGGCAGGTGCCTGAAAGCGGCCGTGGCCTGAACCTCCGCGAGGAAAACACCAAGCACGCGGAAAGAACGCGGCTCGCTCTTGCTCCCGGCGCCGCCGGTACTACTACATGATGAGGATGCGAAACGCTAGCCGCCCGGAGAAACTTCCGCAAGCCCCGCCCTCCGCCCTGCCGGCCACGCCCCGGTACGTGCTCGGGCGCAACACCCCGTCGTGGGCCCCCGCCCGGGCCGCGGCCCCTGGGCCCCAGGGCTCCGGTCCGCACGCGGCGGCCGCGTGTGCTGGGCGCGGCTGCGCCAGCGGCTCCCGCCTACGTGTGCGAGCGCATGTGCGAGGATCTGCGGGCGGGGAGGGGGCGCGGCGGCCCGCCTTTGTCTTCGGTGACCGATAGAGCCATTCCCTCAACCTTGCCTTTGACAGCTACGTCCCGAGTTCCCAGGCGGAAGTTTTGGGATGTGAATCTATCCTTTGAATAGGAAAATTTCTGAGGTCTCTGAATACTTTAGGCCTTAGTTAACTCTACTATGGCTAAAACTGTACTTTAAGTTAGTCCTCATATAATCTGAAATAGAGTTGTTTAAATATACCCCCTTTAATGTCCATGAACACTCAATTCATTTTAAATAAAGTACTTTGAGATATGACTAATAAATAAATGTATAGCTGCCCCAGGGGGTGAGTTTTTTTGTTGGGTTGTTTTTTTGCTCGGTTTTTTAATTTTGCTGCGCGTCAGTTATTGAGGGTCTTTTGTGCTAAAGGTTAGGTGAATTTATAGCATACAAAAAGTTGGGGCCTTAAATTTAATCTCTATAGTTTTGGTATGTTGAGTCCACTGTTAATTGTAAAGTAAAAAGGCCTAGTATTGTTTGGAAAAAGTATCCTCACCTCTGCTAATCCATAGCTCACCATATTTTATATTTTAAGCTGCTTCTTTCAGGAAACGTAATTGTGGTTTTTCAAATAGAATTTCATAGAAAATGAGGACCGTTTTTAAAAATCGTGGTTGAGGGCTGGGGATATAGCTAGGTTGATAGCTTGCTTGCCTTACAGGCACAAGGCCCTGAGTTCAATCCCCAGCACCACAAAAAAATAAATAAATAAATAAAATTGTGGTTGAGGTGTTTCAAATGCTCTTTGCTAATGAAAACAGATCTATAGTATGTGTTTAGACAGGTATCATTTAAGGAGAGTGCTATAGTTCTTTTGGTCCTGTGTTTGCTTAAATCATTACAGATGGACAATTCTCCACAGAGAAGAACAGGCTGGGTGGGACCTGTAATGTTCATCAAAATGGTCATGTCTTTTAAAAAGCTGAGAACTGTTACATATATAGCCTGACAAGTAGACTAGGATTCTATGAAGTCGGTTCTATCTTTAGAGATCTTTGAAATATTAAGACGTTAAAAAGCACTATATTATGCAGGATTCCTTTCCAGATATTTTGGGATAATATTATTTGCTCTTTGGGATGGATTTTTAAAACATGGCTTTACATATAATGCTATGACAAAAATCTTTTATAGGTAGGTATACTACATGAGCTGTGGCATAAACCGTTATAAACTCCTAATCTCCTGTAGAATATTTACAGGGAAGCCTAATAGAGTCCTACAAGAGAAAGTTAGGAGATAGCACGGTCTGAGTAGGTGCTTTGCATCAGTCCATGCTGCTTCTTAGAGCCTCCTGAATAGCAAACATTTGTCACCTTTATAAACTTACTTATCACTACATCTTTCATTCTCTCACCTCTTTTTTTTTAACTGTATGATAATTTATAGTTGTCTTATCTCCCCTATTAAACTTAGTTTCTTTGAAACACAGGTTTCCATCTGATTCATCTTTTTTTTTTTCCAAAAGCCTTCCACTCTGCTTATACAAGAATAATTAACATAATCGAAGGTAAAAGAGGATTTAATGTGTGACATGAGGACTTGATAATTTTGACCAGAGAACAGAATGGGCAAAACAGGACTATTTTCTATCTTTTCTAGTGGAATTCATTTATTCAGTAGGGCTGAGAAAATGCAAGATATAATAAATATGGTAGCCAGGTACTATGGCGTACACCTTTAACCCTAGCTACTCAGGAGGCTGAGGCAGGAGGATCCAATGTCCAAGGTTGACTTAGTAAGACCTAGTCTCAAAATTTAAAAAAAAAAAAAAAAGGCTGGGGGGAGTAGCTCTGTGGTAGAGTGCTCTTGGGTTCACTCCTCAGTACTGCAAAAACAATAATAA